CTTGAAAAGAACTGATGCAAACATGTGCAAACATGGCAAAGGCGTGACCATTTGAGGGGGGATGGACGCTTGCAACCGAGGGCACCAAATCCGAGATGTTGGCATTCATCATTTCCGCCAGTCTTGGACGCACATCCTGAAGAACCTTCTTGTAGCCTGCACGCTGGGCACGACGGACTCCCATCAATCTCACCCCTTTTGGAAGGTGCGTCTTCTTTTGAGGGTACGAGTTTGTCATTTGCAGTTTCCCCATTCTAAGAAACACTCGTTTTGTTCATCAAACCAAATGCAGGTACATAACGGGATCGTGCGTTTGGCATTGCGGGTGACTAGGCTAGCCAGTGTTCTTTTGATTCTTTCGCGATTTGGCGGCCATATGCGGCCATTGACTTCAAAAGCCCAAAGTTGAGGTGTGCTACTCCCATAATATGGGCTTGTTGGGGAGGGTCCCGACCCAAACCTCAAGCAGGGCGGCCTCATCATCCCTGTCTTGGTATAATGATGCTGTTACAGGTACCACAAATCCTTGCATGGACAAATGATCATTGTTGACACATTTTTCAAAATGCTGCGCGCTGCTCGGAAAGACTTTGAAAAGAAAACCAGAGAGTACACAGACCGTTTTGCAATCGCTGACTCTCGGAAATTGCTCGAGCGATCTCTGCACAGGATTACAATCATCCCCAGATCGGAACCTGTGAAACCCATAGTAAAGTCTGTGTGGGTGAGCTCGCTTTAACCGCACATTTTGATGTGAGCCACAGTCAATGTTCTGTCCCCCAGATTGGATTTTGGTGAACCTCCATTTCCGAATAAAACAATATCGGTGGCACACTTGCTTGCTTAAAAGATCGCGCGTTCTGTCTAAAGCAACCCCACAAACGGGTACCAATAGAAACACCCTTCCAGGGGCTCCATCAGCCCACCTGTTTGGGCCAACAAAATTACATGAGAAAAATCACTCGGCCCCCCTTTGCCGTTTGGTTTCCCTAACCAACCCCAAATGCCTGTGGGTCAAAAATAGGCACCCAAAATGGAACCCTGGTAAGTGGAAACAAGGACTAAAGCCCGCGGTCCCCTGGTGGTTTCGTTTTGACCCATACCCAAACACCCCCAACGGAACCCTGGGGGACAAAAAACAACAACAACATGGAACCCTGAAAAAAAACTTCTTATGTTTCGGCCTCCTCCAAACCACGCCGTGGGCTGCGCTTCCTGCTGGTCCGTGAAGTGGTCCATGGCTCTTCGCACTGGCAGAGGCGTGGCCCCAAAGCCGCCGTGGTTGAAGTTCAGGAAGCCTGGCCTGGGGCTGCAGCTTGTAGGGGGCTTCTTCTTTTGCTTCTTTTTGTGGAGGGTACCCTTCTTCTTTTGATGTTTTTTTTTCTTGGGGGGGTGAAAGGGAAATTAAAAGGAACGTCACAATTGTGGGGGATTTCCAGGTTCAAACAATAGACACGAGGGAAACGAAAAGACAACAACCCAATGTGGGGGAATCCTGTTGATGCCAATGTGAGGATCGGTTCCTGGTTGCTCGGCTTAAAGCACACACAAAGCCGCTTGTCGATTTGTTTGAGGCCCGGCCCCATTTTGAGTGCTTCTGGAAAACCCCCCTTTGAGTTGCTTCAAGGGAAACCAACCGTTGGCCCCTTTGCTGGTTTCTTAAACTGCGGACGCTTGTTGGTCAGCTTTTTGAGGACAAGAAAGCCACTGCTTTTTGATTTTGAGGATTAGCCCCTTGAGTGCTCATGCAAGAGGAATTGTTCCCGAACTATTTTTGTCCCTCTCAAACACTCGCAACCATAAGGAGAAAATAGTACTGACTCCCGGAACAAGGCCAAAGCCATCCATATCGAGCTGCTTGAATTGGAAGAACTTGTCGCGTAAAGCTTTTCCGAAAGGAACATCTGGTGTACTTGTTGCAAGGGCCAGCTGCCCTTGGGCAAGTGAACAAAGTAGCCACGCCAGCCACGCCATGGCACACAATGCCAATCTGGGAATGTTTCGTGCGGTGCTATCTGTGCAAATGAAACACCACGTGCCGGTGCGTTGCACTGCAGTTGCTGATGGTGCTCATGGTCCGGCTTTTCCTGCAAGGCATGTCTGACCTCACGATCAGTTAACGTGCCGTTAAAGCTTCTGCACTCACGCCTCGACTGCAACTTCCCGAAAGATCACCCGAACTTGGATCGCACTGCTCTTTCATGTCAACTGGCCTCTCCTGAATCCGCAGCCCACGGCTTCGTTCTTGACATGACATTTGACATGCACGTCAGCACCTACGCACCTACCTGGCCAGCGTGCACCTACTGAAGCGCACACCTGCCTTGGCCGCGTCCTCCATTTCCCCTCAAGCGCAAGATCCGAAATTTACTGCTGCAGCCTCCCTCGACTTGATTCAGATCGGCGGCTCGCAGGTTGGGGGATGGTTTCCCTTTAACCCTCTGCAAGAACTAGGGGTTCAAATCCCCAACCCAGCAAACCAAACCACTACAAGAATTGGAGGCAACCAGAACTGTCAAATGCTCGATTCGCAACGCTGAACCTAGGTAAGCAGGGAACTGGGAATGAATCAGCTGCAGGCCGCCATTGCTGGTGAGGCTGGCTCCAGGCTCTGCACACAGTGCCATGCATGCTTGCACATGTGTATTTTCAGCGCTGCTGACATGAGAATGGGCTGGGTGTTCTGGCCGCAGTTAAGTGGCCATTGAAATGTCACTTCAGTCGCTTGAATAGCACACCTCCTGAGCATGAATCCCGCAATCATTGAAGAACGAGTCTGCGTCAGAGCAACGCGCACCATGCTCTCATAAACTTCTGAACAGCCGCCAAGGCGCCAAGGACTTTTAAAGAACCTTCGGCATCCAAGTCATGGCAACAGCGGGGTAGGCAATCTCACACCTTAACCGGGTCAAAGTGTCTTCATGCCCGCCGCCGCCTTCGGCCCATGTCAGCTCTTCGGCCTGTAACCGTGCCATGAATCTTGGGCCCCCGGCTAAATTTACAGCAAGCACGATCTTGCCAATGTGCGCATCATACACGTGTATGCTGTCCAAGTGACATGGATACAGAATGAAGTAGTTGAATCATATCTCTAGATGGTCCGGCCATAAATCTGCCTCGCAGAATTTGCCGAATCTCACTCTGGACACCTAGTGTCCCGAGCTTATCTCAGCGGCTTAACGCAATGCATCCAGCCACTTGGCAAAAAAGGAAGCCCTGATGTCAGCATCAGTGCATCGGGATCCTTGCGCTGAGATGGTATTTGGCATTAGAACTGCAAGAATCAGGAATTGCCTAGGCCAAAGACGTAACCTGGATTTTGTACCGTCGTTTACAACCGATAGATGCAAAACAACAGGTAGGCCGCATTGAATCTGGGGATCAATACACCCGCACCGGCCTGCACCTTTCGGGAGTTCTAAGAAACCTCATCAATGTCGCAGTTCTCGAAGCCGAGCGCATAGCCGCGCTGCATAGCAGAGGCCATGCGAATTTGCATGCAGTTGGAATGTTTTCGCTGGCCGCAAGGGGACTGGTGAGCCACAAACAGTGAAACTTGAATTGACGTGACATAGGCACATGCACTTATTTGACCCCACGCAGTCCTCTGGAAAAAGGGCAGCCGAATAACATGACTCGGATTAATGTGAAACAGTGATCTAGCTAATGTCCAAACGGCATCGCCGCATTGTAAACAGTTGCGTACGTGCACAGAGTCTTTAAACCGTGGACTGTTCAAAGCGCTTCTTGAGTTGCTCATTGAAGAGCTCCCTCTCAGAGCACTCTCTCACTGCATCTGACATATGGAGCCTCAGCAGAAATCTCGCCAGTAAAGCAAGGCCACTTTGCACAGCGCAGGGCTTCAAATATGCCAAGAAACAGCAAACTGACTCCCGGCGGTTGATGGCGTCGCCCCCTGCCAATGTCGTGTTGCTGTTTGCTGCCCAGGCAAAGCGGTTCACCTCACTGTCTTCCTTTGCAGTGAATTTTAATCGTGGGACATTGGTGAACATCAGCTCACCGAGGACTTATTTTCTGTCATTCTTGGGAGCCGTCCAACCAAACAAAAAACGCCCTTCAGCAATTCGCCCGCACCCACGCCCATCCGCGCGCCTCCGGCTTGGAAAGGCCTCGCATGCGGATGCCGAGCCATGCTCAGTGGAGCCCGTAGGCTCCCCTGAAGTGTCTGTGATCTTCAAGCGTGTAGCTCATTTCACGGCGTAACAGCAACTGCAAATCGGTTTGCGCACCAACGGCGCACAAATGGTAATTGGCAACTCATGTCCAATCGGGATTAGTAAAGGGGGGTCCCCCCCCCCGCCCCCCCTCCCCCCCAACGATGGGGGCACCTGGAATAGCATCTTGAGATCCAGTTCAAGTGAGTTTCCATTTGATTTAGTATTGGTAGACTTGAGTTTCCATTTGATTTAGTATTGCTGGAGCTTCCTTTTGAGATTTGGAACTGAGTTTCCATTTGATTTAGTATTGCTGGAGCTTCCTTTTGAGATTTGGAACTGAGTTTCCATTTGATTTTGTATTGCTGGAGCTTCCTTTTGAGATTTGGAACTGAGTTTCCATTTGATTTAGTATTGGTAGACTTGAGTTTCCATTTGATTTAGTTTTGCTGGAGCTTCCTTTTGAGATGTTTCCAGGGGGGGCAATGCATCAAGACTTTATTATAGGCGCCCCTGGAATAAAGTCTTGGGCTTAAAATTTGGGGGGCTGACGTACTACCCCCTTTGTGGGATGGTGAGCAGTTTTTAAACAAGGGACATGTAAAAAAGCTTGAGTTTGGGCAAGGTCTGCAGATTGGATTTGGGGAGAAAGCAGCAAGCTTCACCAGCATCAATGGGGATTGTTTTTGAATTTGGCCAGTTGGTTAGCTAAGAGGTAACTGCAATTAGGGAGTTGCATTTTTCAGGGGGCCAATGCATCAAGACTTTATTATAGGGGCCCCTGGAATAAAGTATTGGGCTTAAAATTTGGGGGGCTGAAGTACTACCCCCTTTGTAGGTTTGATGATGAACAGTTTTTAAACAAGAGACATGTAAGAAAACTTGAGTTTGGGCAAGGTCTGCAGCTTGGATTTGGGGAGAAAGCAGCAAGCTTCACCAGCATCACCTGGGATTGTTTTTGAATTTGGCCAGTTGGTTAGCTAAGAGGTAACTGCAATTAGGGAGTTGCATTTTTCAGGGGGGGCCAATGCATCAAGACTTTATTCCAGGGGTGGCGGGTGCTTGTCTTTATTCTAGGTGCATTTACTAATTATTTTGGGCCCCCCATTTGTCTTTATTCCAGGTGCATTTTCTAATCCTACGTGGACATTGACTAAAGCAATCAGATTCTTGGCTCAAGTTGTCTTCGCCATGGAGAGAAACGGACCCGACTACCTTCAAACCACTTCAGGTAACTGGTATCAAACACCATCGCAGACCTGTTTGAGGGGCAGGGGAAGCAGCTCGCGCATTGCCATGTGCTTTGTGGCGTTGTTACATGCAGCAATGACCTCCTTTTCCGACTTGTGCTGTCACTCCGCGACATTGGCGGGCGGCAATCGATTCTGCCGGCGGCCGACGGCCGAACGGCTGTGCGGCTTTCACTGGATCAAAGCGAGCTTCTGGCCCGCGCATCGAAGCGCGACTTCTTGATCAGTGGTCAACGAATCCCAATTCCACTTCTGCGACCCACTGCCTCTCTGGCGCAAAGTACCTCACGTGCACAGGCTCACGTGAGGCTGAGATTTGAGGCGCTTTGGAAAATCCCCAGATCGGGCTGCCTTCCTGCAATGCAATGCCATTTCATGTAGTACAATCTCGTGAATATACAGAATGCAACATGTGGGCAGCATGATGCAATTGAAGGACGGGTGTTGTGTGATTGATGGGTGCCCCAGGCTCTGTGGATCCGTCCAACATTGAAACCGTTTGCTTAAGCAGCTGCATTCTCGCTGGGGGGCCAAATCGCAAAGTGGTTGGCGAGCATCGCCAGGCCAGCATCCACTTCGAGCACGAAGGAGGTGATGCGGGCGTAGGGCTGCAACTCTACAAAGACATTGTAGATCTGAATAATGCTGAACATGAAGTAAGGCCAAGCAGCCAGAAGCCATGTGCCATACCGCAGCTTGTACTGGAGTGTTCCTTTTTGCACCACCTCTACCTTGCATTTCAATGGCCGTAGGCAAAGGGCATGAGCTTCCGCTAGCAGAAAGCTGATGAACATCAGCATGGCGGAACAGCAGTGGACTACCACCAGCACCAGTCGTTCAGAGTCCCACTCCTCTAGGTCAATCCAAGTAGGACAACTGTTGCAGTTAGTCATGCTGTCTTATTAGTATTACTTGTTTAACCAAAGAGCTAAGCAAACTTCGCTCGAACTTTGCTTTGTTCCCTGACTTCAAGATCATGGCATGAGACATTCAATCACTTGCAAACATTACATGCCAGGCCTTCCGACTTCCGACTTCCACCTTCGTCATTTGGCCATGGGTCCAAACCCAAATCGTACCCCTAGTGAACATGCCAATCCCCACTAAAATAGACTAAAGTGGGTGGTGCACCTACCCCAAAATGGTACCATTGGTTTTGACCCACAGCCATATGGTCCAAATGTTCTCAAAGATTGAGTATGTTTGCACCCCGTCTCCGCGCCCATGGCCAGCCGAACTCACAATCAACAGCCCAAAATATGTACCCAAAATGGCTTGCCCTGGAAAGTGGAAACATGGACCACAACCTGCGGTCCAATTCCTGGTGGTTGAATTTTGAGCCATACCCATTTCTCCGTTCCTCCTGGCGCACGGAGGGCACACAGGCCACCAGCACAAGGCCCACGGGGGGGAAGAAGGTCCTGGCCGTGGCCCAGGACATGGCACAGGGGCCCAGCGGCATGCGGCAACCGCCCTGCGCCGGGATGCAGCAGGCGTTGCGCAGCTTGTAGGGGTACCAGGACAGCAAGATACTCAGCGCCTCAGAGGCAGCAAACTTTCTCTTTGTTTGAACGCGGAAGAGTCCAGGAGATGCAAAATACTGGGTCGGTCTCAACATAGGACCCTCAACATGTGAGTCACAATCAAAACCCGGTATTAAAATGGTCGACCCGGAGCCATGTAAAGAATTAAGAAGGCGGCCGCAACTATTTCCGGCTGGGATTGTCCCTTGCTAACCTTTGTCTACCCGGGTTTTGATTGTGGCTCATGTGGTTCTTTTCCCTTTTGGTTTCCCTTTAAACCAACGCGAAAAGGCTAAGATCTTCCCACGCACCCATCTTCGAAACGACAAAAATCTGGACCGGGAATTCCGAGATCTGGGGGTCCTGCCGCCAGGAGCTCGAAGCCGAAGAAGATGCGGGCCTCCACGCTGTGCCACTCAGAGACCAACTCGGAGACCGTGGCCGGCAGAAAAGTCTTGTTGATGTCTTTGGACCCCATGGTGCCTCGCAAACCCCGCAGCATCAGCGGCACCACCTGAAACTCATGCAACTGGAAAACACGGGCACGCTGCAAAATGACATAAACAACACAAGCACACAGCAAAATAACATAGACTAATCTCCAAATGCATGTGCTTTTCTCTTAGAAATAAGAAAGGCACATACCAACAACACGGCCCAACCGTGGTCCCCATTCACCTGGGGACTTTCAAAGCTCGTGCTTCCTGTCGACACACTCCCCCCTCCAAGCTCCCGCTGTCTGCTTGTTGCCTGCTGAAGATTACGAGGCAATGGTGCAGCATGCAACAGGGGCCTGGTGAAAAACCCAGGGCGGCCGCATTCTGATACTGCGGTCCAGAGACCTGATGCCACATTCCCTGACGCCACATTCCCCCTTGACGCTGCGCAGCATTCTGATGCCACATTCTCTGATGCCACATTGTGGACATTCTGCGATGCCAAATTTCCCCCTGCGAGACGCCTGAGGCGCGCTCTGACACCACATTCTTTAGCGGCATCACGCGAGGGCTGCACAAGTGGAAAGGGCGCCGATGTTGGGCCTTCATGCCCTTTCCAAGATGCTATCTGCACGTACATTTTGCAGGTCTTCACGCCAAATTACCACAAGCGCTCGCGGTCACTACGTCAGCAGTCAACGAATTCGGCTTTGGGAGTTTGCCTTCGCAGTTGCTCTTTGTGTCTGCGTGCCTTGGGCGAATGTCTCTTCGGACTTGCTCTTCTTCTGCTGGCGAACAAGTACTACCACCCCAGCATCCACAGCTGACAAACAGCGCGTTGAACGAAGATCACCAACAAATCAAAGAAAGACAACGAAAAGACACATCCTGTTGAGACATGCCGCCCTCTTCCAATCAGTCAGTCATGGTGAACACTCCAATGTGAGTCAGGGCCATGACTCTCATGGCAACCTCCCGAGGATATCACGATAAGACCAATCTGCTGACCACGACACATAGTCATGAGAACTTTTCTGGGGGTATGGCCAATGTCTCTCCATGGCGCGGCTATGAGGAAGCCCAGCACCCCCAGCACTACGCCCAAGAGCAAGTACCGCACGCTCTGGTCAATGTAATGCCGCGAGGCATTGTCCAGCTGAAACCGAGTGTCGCGGCCGTCGCGACCGCCGCGCGATGAGCTTGACGCACCACGCGTCTGTTCATCGCGCATGGCCAGTAACGCAACTGCAGGGCGTGAGGCCAAGCTTCGCAAACAAGCAATCAAAGTTCTGTCTGAAATCATGGAGTGCCACGACATGGTGCTGTGTGCAGAGTTACTTTTGATTTTCTTAAGTGAGCACATCATGTTTGTGCAGTGGCACTTGTTGCAGCTATCTTGAGCAGAGTGCGGCAGGCATGTTCAACCATGCAAACAAAGCAAGTGACTGAACCGGACTCAAACCGCTGGACCCACCTGTCCAAGAAGTCGCCGTCGTCGTCTCCCGCCACGAGCCGCTCAAACCTGCAAGCAGATAGAAAGCTTCGTCCGCCTGCAGCTTTGCCGCTATGAAGCTCACCTATATGTGAGCAGCGCCCAAACCCATTGACCTTTGGTTCCACCGATATGGCGTTCAACATTCAACTAGTAGAGCCACCAACTAACATGGCCCTTCTGAAGCTCGAGCTGTTTGGCGCTCACGTCGAATTCTCTTTGATGGCAACATTGCCTGTGCAAGGCTGCTTCCGGCGGAAATCCTCCAGGCCTGAGCCACGTTTTTCGATCGGCGATCAAGGCAGACCACTTGGGCACGTCCGCCGATCCGAGGTCACTGCGCAAGGAGCTTTCGGCAATAGGGATCGCCATCCGTGTGCCTTTGTCCTGGTGCAACTCTCAAAGCCATCGGTCCGGAGCCCCGAGATGTCAAATTGGTTTCCCTTGGTTTTGCCTGGACAAGGGCCAACGCGAAGGGGTGATTCTCCAGTCCATACCAACCAGAAAGGGCGCGAAGGGGTGATTTTCCTGTAAATACCAAAGGGGATCCAACATGTTGAGAAACACTCAAGCGCGACAGTCGTCCCGGAATTCCCGCGGATTGGATGCCACTTCGAATCTTCGAATGCATGTCTGCCATAGACCCGTGGCAAGGTCCTCCAAGGTAGGCAGGGATGGTTTCGTCCCCTTGGCGAAGCAATTTGCGGGCTGTTATGGCGTGTGTCGGAAGAGGGGTACCCTTCAAACAAATGGACTTGGTGTCCACTTGGTTTCCTCTTTGTATCACCGGAAAGAGGTATCAAGATTCACGCAATGGTGTCCATTCCGTTTCCCCTCCAAGCAACCTGTTGTGTGGGTCTGTCTTTTTTTGCGGGGCCTGTTGTGGGTGGATTTTTGAGGGGAAATCAATGGGAAAAACACCTTCCGTCTGTGGGAAGTGTTCCCCTTTTGCGAGACAAAAGCCCATCGGTATCTCTGCTCTCTGAGTAGCTGGGCCCATGTATTTCCGCAAGAGGCTCAAGGTTTCCGCTTCCGTGGCCATCTGCACCTGGCAATATCCCGGATCGCTCAACTCAAGGAGCCCAAGGCCAAACAGCTAGACACTCGTTTTCTTTGTGCCTTTCTCCCTCTCTCCCTCTGTCTCTGTCGCTCTCTCTCGTGTTGCTACATTGAAACTCACATCTAGCTTCTGATCAGCCTTGGCGATGGTGCCAGGATCCAACAGGTAGCTGAACATCGACCTAGTGACACTGGCCGCTTGGGTGCCGGAGTGCGAGGCAACTGACTCAAGCAGTTTGCCTTTGGCCACGCAACCTGGCACCGTAGTGCTCAGGCAAATCTGTAAGGTTGCGGCCAAGCTTTCACAAACGGTGACGGGACCCTGGCAGAATGCATCCATTGCGTGTGCCAGGGTCAAAGGTATGGCTGGTTCCTGTTGGACCCTATAGGTGCCGCCGAAAGAACAAACAAAAACAGACAAAAAAAAACACGGGGAAACAAAAACAAGGAATACCAACAAAGGTCCTGTCCGATCTTACCCGGCCTGACAAAAAGAATTCGGGTGCAGATCTCCGGCAAGAGGTTGCTCCTGCAAGCCACGATCTTGGAAAGCGTCCAGGCCTCAGCCGAGGCGACAATGCTCTCAAGCCCATGGTGTCGATGGATTCTCAGGGCCCGGCTGCGCCAAACTGCGCATCTGACCACTTGAACCCCTTCAAGTCCAGAACCTAAGCGCGGGCTCGGCCAAATATGGTCCAAACGTTCTCCAAGATTGAGTATACAGTATGTTTGCACCCCGTCATCCGCGCCCATGGCCAGCCGAACTCACAATCAACAGCCCAAGCTGAAAAACCAGCCTTCAAGGTGGACCGCAACATCCACAGGGAACAGCCAGGGATCACGTGCATATTCTTAGCCTTTGACTAACAGGTTTTCGCTTGCGCACCAGGTGTAGAGCTTCACATTTGGTATGGACAAAACTCCGGTCATGGCTCCCTAAGGAGCCAATGCTAAGAATTTGTGCTACCAGGACCATCGGTAAACCCAAGTAGACAGGTCTTTTAACCATGGCACATGCTTTGGTGAAACTTGTCCCTTCTGCAAACTGCTGGTGACATCTGGCCATCTTCGGCTTTTCACGCCAAAGTTCTTCACTGGGAGATGGAATTTTAGGCGATCTGCACTGACCGTTTACCATGCCAATAGCTCAGTAGGCTTCCCCATAATTCCCCGTCAACCAGGTTCAATGGGGCTTGCTGGGGGTGAGGGTCACCTTTGGAGTGGTTTCAGCTGGGTCCAGGGCGCGCTTAGGGTTTAGGGTGGTTGGGGGTTCGGGGTGGGCCTGGTTTAGGGTGGGTTTGGCGCGGGTTTGGTTGGGGTGGTTGGGGCCTTAGGTAGAGGGTTAGATGGAGCTTGGGTTGGCGCAAGGTTGGTTTAGTTGAGGATGAAGGTGGGTTTAAGGTGGGTTTAGTGTGGGGTCCGTTCAGATTTGGTTTAAGTCAGGTTCGGGGTGGGTGTATGGTGGTTTAGGGTGGGTTTGGGGGCTCAGAGTTGTGGGTTTAGGGTGGCGTGCGGTTGCGTAGGTGGGTTTATGGGTAGGATTAAAGTTGCTTAAGGCTGGTCTAGGGTGTGTTTGCGGTTGCTTTGGGTGGGTCGGTTTAGGATTGGTCTAGGGTGGGTTCAAATGAAGTTTGGGTTGGTTGGGTTTGTTGAGTTGAGGATAAAGGCGGGTTTAGTGAGGTTTCGGATCGGGTGTTTGGGGTGTGCGTTTTTGGGGCTCAAGGCACGTTTGGTACGTTTAGGGTGGTTGAGGGTAAATGAAGGGTAGGTTTGGGGTGCGTTTAGGGTCTGAGGTCGGCTGGGGCAGGTGTAGGGCAGGTGGTTTTGTGTGTGTTGCTTGCTTGCTTTCTTTCTTTCTTTCTTTCTTTCTTTCTGGCTTGCTTGCTGGCTTGCTTGCTTGCTTGCTTGCTTGCCCGGGGAACTGAAAAAAAAAGAAGAAAAACAATCCAGCGGGAGATCAGTTCCCTACATAATATAGCAGCCAACCCAAAATATACAAGGGATGGTAAAACCGCCCATGAGCTTTCGGGTGAAATCCCCAATCCATTCAAAGTGCTAGAGCTTTTCAATTAGACCTCACGCGGAGTGTGATCGCGCATGTACCGAGATGGGGCACGCCGCCCATCATCGTCTCATCAAATTACTCGATAAGATATTCGCAGGCAACAAGCAAGCACTCTATCAATTGATCAGATGTGCAATGAAACAGCTTCGAGCCATCACATGATCAAATTTCTACAAACTTAAGTCATTGACATCAAATCTACAAGTGACTCCTCACAAATCCACGCTCGTCCTGAGAACTTGGCGACCGTAGCCCCACCAAATGGTCTCCCTCGCCTAAGGGAGTCCTCCCGGCATGTGTCAAGCCATGGGTGGGTTCCAACTTTGGCTTCCCAAATTTGCAAGGAGCGAACCTCAAATCGGTGCATTAGCTGCGGGTTCACAAGCTTAGCTCTAATGCAAACGTGCCAATCCAAACCTACAACTCACAATGACCCCCCAAAAAGGGCGCCCCCAAAAGTCATCGTTTGGGGCGTTTCGGAACTGAATTGAGATGGGCTCCTCCTCCAGCGCTGCCAATGATCTGCGACAGTGCACGATGTCCAGCCTCTTGAGGACCTGTAGAACATGCGTCATCACCTGGAAATCTCTCCAAATAAGGGTCCCCTCAACTGGTGGTTTCTTTCCTTTTGGTTTCCTGTGCGTGCATGTGTGTGTTGCCTCTGTTTGTTTGCTTGCTAGTTTTGTGAGTTGTTTGTTTGTTTGTGTGTTTGTTTTGTTTTGATTTGTTTTCTGTTGTGTTGTGTTGTGTTGTGTTATGTTGTGTTGTGTTGTTTTGTTTTGTTTTGTGTTGTGTTGTGTTGTTTTGTTTTGTTTTGTTTTGTTTTGTGTTGCTTTTTTCTTGTTTTGTTTTGGTTTGGTTTGGTTTGGGTTGTTTGTTTGTTTGTTTGTTTGTTTGTTTGTTTGTTTGTTTGTTTGATTGTTTTTTTTGTGTTTGTTTGTTTGTTTGTTTGTTTGTTTGTGAGTTTGTTTGAATATTTGCTTGTGTTTGTTTGTTTGTTTGTTTGTTTGTTTGTTTGTTTGTTTGTTTGTTTGTTTGTTTGTGAGTTTGATTGAATATTTGCTTGTTTGTTTGTTTGTTTGTTTGTTTGTTTATTTGTTTGTTTGTTTGTGTGTGTGTGTTTGTTTGTTTGTTTGTTTGTTTGTTTGTTTGTTTGTTTGTTTGTGAGTTTGTTTGAATATTTGCTTGTGTTTGTTTGTTTGTTTGTTTGTTTGTTTGTTTGTTTGTTTGTTTGTGAGTTTGTTTGAATATTTGCTTGTGTTTGTTTGTTTGTTCGTTTGTTTATCTGTATGTTTGGTTGTTTGTGTTTTTCCTTGTTGAATAAGGTGCCCTTTTGTGTAGGCGGCAGAGAAATCGAAAGGAACACTACCACGGTATTTGGGGTCCAAATCCCGATTTTGAGACATACCCATGTGTCGCCTGGGGAGGTTCTCAAAATAGGGGTCTAGACGGGGGCCACAAGGGAACATTGGGGTTTCGAAAAACGGCGGCCCCACTTTTGGTCATGGCGGACTGGTTGCCGAAAGAAACCAACCACGGAAAAAAAGGGGGGGGGAGGGCACTATTTGGAGGCGCCCCCACATGTGCCAAAGCCTGGTATTCAAGTACTCTTCCCGATAGCGTGTAAGCTATTTATGAAGGACTGTCCCCCTCACATTCGCTCAAAAATGGGGAGCCCAAGCATGTTCAAGCATGTGCTGCAACAAACTGCACAGCCAGGAAACCACGAGGAAACCACCCAGGTTTGTGGGTTTGCCAATATTGACACGTGCCCAATTGGGCGTCTGATGCACCTGATTCGCGCGTCGGCCCTGCCTCAAAGTCCAGCCGAGCGCAAAGCTTCGGCCAAGAGCATCGGCCTCCAATGCTTGCAGAATCCAATGCAGAAAGGACCGCACGTACTTGTATGTGAACATATCATATTATATATATATATATATATTATACAAAGTATACATACTAATCACACTGACACACCACAGCAACCAGCCAGCCAGCCAGCCAGCCAGCCAGCCAGCCAGCCAGCCAACCAACCAGCCAGCCAACCAACCGCTCGCCCATGTGGCGTGTCATGCTTTTGCATACCCCAGGATCCGCGCCAATACGTTCCAAAGCCACGGGCTCACCCTGCCTCAGCAACATCACAGACTCCGAGGGCCATTTAGGGGTCCTTTTTCGCGGGAAGCCCCTTTTGGGGGGTTTTGGTGAGAAGCCAACAGGACACCCACTCTCGCCTCCTTTTTCCTCTTTTTTGCCCGGGGGGGGGGGGGGGAGAGGATATTTTCTGAAATAAGTCGTGTATCTTTTTGTGTGAAGGTATTCTTGTTTGTGGTTGGTTTAAAGGAACACCACTCATTTTCGTACCCATTCGAACAGTTCCTCTATATGGGACGCCACAAAATGCGTGGAGTCTTTCTCCCAGTCCGTTAGCCACTGGAAGCACCTTTGAGGACATCCTTAGCACTGTCTATGTTTGTGGTTTCTTTGAGGCTCGGTTTGATTAGGGAAACAAATGAACGCCCACCCATTTTCGGGGTCCAAACTCAACAAAATGGTACGACATCTGAAGGTAGAAATGTTGCGGTGCCGCCGCGCTCCCATACGCCACTCGGCTCACCGAAAAAGGGGTGTGAGGTTTCCATTTTTGGACCAAGACTTGAAGCCCAGTTTGATTGACTTTCTTGAGGGGAACCACTGGGTTCAAGTCTGCCTTTAAGCCTTTGGGTCTGGGTGTCTCTAAATAGGAATCGGACCCCCACAATGCAGAATGGCGGCTTTCCGTTCAGGTTCCTTAAAACCAACCAGAAACGGCTCACCCCAAAAAAAGTGAGACACCCAAATCGCCCCTTCCAAAAATCCGACCTAAAAATGAACCTCTGACGTTTAGACCATGCTGCTAGGTGCCGCCTAGCAGTACAAAAAAAAGAGAGAACCCGGGAACCGGAACCGACGTGCTCATTGGGCCCACGGGCAGGCCGTGGCCCAGGAATCCCCCGCTCAGCCACCAGGGTGCCAAGCACCTAACAGCACCCCCAAGCCATGTGGATATGAATTTTATCTGGGGACCCGTTGGTGGACACCATTTAGGTAAGAATTCATGTCAACCAAGCACATTTGAGGTGGTATTAAAATTCAGGGCCTTATGGTCTTCAAGCCAAGGTCAAAAAACCCAGATCTCATCAATGATCTCAATGGGCCAACATCAAAAAAAATCTCCACAAGGATGCAGAGCTACTCTCGACCTTGTCGAGCCTGGACATTGAAAGGTGATCACCTTCAGGAACCTTGACAAGTTCAGGGACCAAAATTAGTGAAACCAAACGGATAGATCCGGTCGACTCCCTTTGGGGTGAGACGAAGATCTTCCTGTTGAGCCTCGCACTTCTCATATGCCTGGCAAAGGAGAACAAGTCCATCGAGTTCCGAGCTGTGAAACAGCTCTGGGGTGGTCTTTAGGGTGCCTGGACCCTCAAACTACCCAGAACAACTGGAATTCAAGCTATATTTTCTATATTTCAGGGGAATCGCAACGTCCCATCTCTTTGGGTGGGTAGTTTGAGGGTCAGGGGCTTTCTATCGCGCTTAGTCAACCATGAGCACACAACGACCATTGATGCTGTTTTCAAATCATGTATAGTAAACAGCACACACGTCAACCATGAGGGGGTCTCAAAATGGTGGTCCCCCTTTTGGTTGGAAATCAAAGGGAAACAAAAGACAACCACCAATTTTAGGGGAGCACTATTTTGAGAAACCCAGATGCATCAATTTGGCCGCCCATGCCTCCAGATTCCACTTGTCCAGGGCGTTCAGCACGTCGTTCTCCTATGGACATGGGTGGCCTTTCTTGAGGCTGGGGTCATGACCCCTTCTTCTTGGGTCCCATTGGTAAGGGGCGCGGAGACTCCGGGTTTGTTCCTTTTTTGTTGTTCTGCTCCTTTATTTGTTTGGCTTGGGGGGAAGGGGGGAGGGTTCAAACTTGAATTCGAAGGAACCCCGAAGCCCACGAAAAGCGGAACCCCCCCATTTTGGGCCTCAACTCCCCGAACGCTTTGCCTGGCGCCGGGGCCTCAGCATGCCGCAATGAAATGGGAATCAACGGGTCCTTGTACCTAACCCACATCCCCTCAACCCTGGCCATTCCCCAAAAACCTTTGCCTGGACCCACAAACGTCCTCAATCAAACCCCATAAATCCCAAATCACCGTGGCCGAAGTGCCCTTTAGGCCTTTTCGGTTTGGTTTGCCTGGCCGTGAAACCCACCCTGCCTCCATCCAGGAGATGGCATCCCGGATCTTCTTCTCAGCTTTGTGGACCCTAGGGTGGCCAAACGGATCTTGGCAGGCAGATATGATGGGTGCCATGATCTGAAGAAGAAGCCAACTAGACGAAAAAAAGGCGATATGCTTTACCAACGTCCGGCATCCTTATCAAGGAATAAACGTCATTTAGCTCATGCCGATATGCACCAACTCAGGTCCTTGGACCTTGTGGACAGCATTTCAAAAGCTGCGTGCAACAACCGAAGCCTCGTCCGATGCCCACTCAAACCCTAGGGGCGCAACTTTCCCTTCTCGGCACGTAGGAAGCGCATGAGCGTGAGGTTGTCCACCTTCCAAAGGCGTCCAGCTGTTTTGTTTCTAAAATATGAGCGCATCCTCGTGGAATCGAGCCCTTCGGTTGCCTCAATTTGGTGATTCACGGGGCCCCGATGGTGACCATTCACCTGCCTTTGTGAGTCCCCGCGTTTTTGAGCGTACCCTTTTCAGCTTTGAAAGAGAAACCAGAAAACAAAGAGAGCCAAAAGCATTTTGCGGGGACGCTCCTAGATTCACACGAACTCGGAACCACATCCCATGGGATCAGAGCCCCACCCGGTGGCGCTGCTGTTCTTTCAGATCTGCCACCAGCTCCTTGAGCTCCCAAATCTTCTCCTCCTGCGAATGGGCGGCCCGTCGTTTTGTTTTGAGGGCGACTATAGGGAACACCACAATTTTGGGGTCCCTGATCTTAAGACACACAAGCAAATGGGGCCTTCTTTTGCGGGTACCCTTTTGCAAGTCTAAGTGGTTTAAGAAAAAGGACACCCAGCCTTTTGGGGGGTCCCCTAAGAGACAGTTCCAGTGCACATGACATGCGCAGCACATTTGCCAGGCTCAGATTGCAAGCTGCACTTTACAAGTTCAGACTGCGGACGCCTGACTGATGGTCTCAGAATCCAACATGACTCGTAATCCATACCCGGTGGCAGAGGGATCTGCCCAAATCCATGTGACTCACATTGCTCCTAGTCCTTCAGAAACCCGAATACCAAGAAGCGTGACTCTCGTCACTCGCCTCCCCTTCGCGCAGCTGTGGCATCTCCAGCTGCTCAGCCTCCTGCAAGCTGAGGTCAAAGCCACAAAGCATGGTATGGCAGGAGATGGCAGGAGATGGAAGGGGATGGAAGGGGATGGAGGATGGAAGGGGATGGAAGATGGAAGGGGATGGAGGTGTTTCGGGGATGGAAGGGGACGGAAGGCGGAAGAAGGGCTGAGAGCGGCTGAAAGGTGGAAGGGCATGGAAGGGTATGGAATGGAAACTACTCAAAGCAGCCAGTGAAAAGCAGCAGCTTTTAAGAGGACTCGCTCGCCGCTTAAGCGGAACAGGCCTGAAAAAGGAGCAGCAAACTATCGTGAAATGAGCAGCCTATTTACAGGACTTGGCTAAAAGAAGCAGCCTTTTGAAAGGAGCGGCCTTTTCAGAGGGCTAGCTGTTAAGAGCAGAAAGCGGTCTTACACTGTAGGCGAAATCCTTTCCTTGCAGCTTTCCATTGACACAAAGCGTAGCAAGGTATCAGGCACCCAGGGTGTTTTTGATTCATCTAATACAACAAGACAGAACTGAAACCAGCAAAAAAAACAAAAAGTACGGTTCAATCGGGGGGAGGAAACAACAACAGCCAGGTTCTCCGACTGTTTCGACATCCCGCATCCTCAATGCTGAGAGGTACTGGTGGCTCGGCATCCGGTTCCAAGGGCTCCGGCCTGACGTCTCCCTGCCCTCTGTGGGGGCATTCATGGTTCTTTCTGTTCGTCCACGGTTTTTTGTGGGAAGCCTTGTTGGACTTCCCCCCAGTTCCCCAAAAGTCGCCACAGACTCATGTTCGTGCACAATGGCCATTGGCGTCCCTTGGATTGCTACTTTGTGTTGTTCGATATCCATCGCAATGAGTTTGGAAAACCGAGGCACTGTTGCCCGACATGGTCTGGCAAAGAGCCACCTTTCTTGAAGTAAGGTTTCAACCCAAGCCACCCCCTTCACGAACACCACACATTCTCAGAAATCCTGCTTTTTCCTTGCCTCAAGCCAGTGTACTTGAACTTGCCGTATTCGAACTTCCAGCACCTCATACGGTCATGCAAACCTGGTGTCGAAACGCTGGCTGTCACAAACTTGGAACATCTCACAACGCCTGACAGCCTAAGGGCTCAACGTCTCTGCATCATCCACCATATCTGTCTCTGAGTAGCTGCGTTGGAATCTGGCCTAGCTCTGATCGGCTCACAACACGACTCATTTGACGCCTTGCTTGTGGGATTCCATCGGCCCTAGGTGCTGTGCGCTCTTTGGCCACTTGGTGGTCTCATCTTCTTGACCCTGGCCAGGCAACGGAGAACCCACATGCAAGTGACTTGAGTCGGAATCAAAGCCTGGTAAAGAATCAAGACTTCATCTTTCTCTTGCAATAGGCAGCATCAAGTCTGCAAGTCCCCCAACACGAATCTGTGCCTTCCGCCGTCTGCATGCCAATGTGGACTGCTTCAACAAGCCTGCACCTAGCACAATGACCAACTCATCAAGACTTGGCTGGTTTCAAATGTCGCGATACTTGTCACTTCTGTGGGATTGATGTGACGGTAATCTATGCTTCAATTCGAGTGTCAAGCAACCATGACAGGCTTTTATGCAAACGATCATGCAAAGAAACACACACACACACACACACACCATATGCAATGACCATGGATCAGGGTCAGATTTGTTTGCCCCTCCTCGCACCTGAAGCTGTGACAAAGTCTCGCCAAAAGCGCAACGGCGCATGGCAGGGCACCTGCTATCAGCAGAATCGTCGTGGTGACAACCGGGACATCCTGAGAATCCTGCGCTGGATTGAGACTTCGATGCCCAGTGGCCATGGCAAAAAAGGGCATCCTTTTCCGGTTGGTTGACTTTAAAGGGAAACCCTTCCCCAAAAAAAAGGAAACAAAGCACCACTGGGCAACTGGGTGAAGCACGCGTAAGCATGAAAGTGAAGCACCGAATGAGACCGCATGTGGGTGTCTTTTTCAGACCCCCAACAGGTTGGCTTCCCTTTGGCTTCCCTTCATGAAAATCACAAGATGGGGTGCCCTGCAAAAAAGACGCTCATGGGCTCATTTGCTACCAGTAGGGCTTGCTCTCGCCTGGATACCTGTCTCGGCGCGCACACGGCCCAACAGCGTAAACAGCATCGACAGCATGACCTCGGGTCAAAACGCGCCTACATTTCGCTTTGATTCGGGTGTCGATTCCTCCAAAATGGTTGTTTCCAGTGGCTACTTGATGCCATTTGTGCTTTCCCGGCAATCAACTCGTACCGATTCCTGCCAAGTTGCTCGCTGCGGAAGCTGCCGCGCAGGGCAAAATTGTGTAATTAGAGGCACAACAGCTCAAAACAAAACAATAGAATATGTTGAGAGCTGGTGGCTCTACGCAGACCCTCTACAATTCTAGCAGGCCTGCAGCCTGCTATGATTGTGCGGGACAAGCAATGCTTTTCCTGGGTCAGTATGGCCTACTGCGTGCCGAAGACTGTGCAGCATTGAGCAAAAGCCAGTCATGAGCACTCCGTGACACCGATGAGGCCATCAAGCATGCAATGCACCCAGGAGCCAACAAAACGGCAAGATCGCCTTGACACAGTCACGCAGTGCCTTCGGCACTCGATGACAAAGGTTTGAAACCACTGCACTACGCTGCTTCCAGATGCATGCCGAGCATGATCAAGCTCCTTGCCACGGTATTGACTCTCTCGATGCTCACTCTCCTGCTCAAGGCTTACTAGGTCAATATCACCGGTTGGTGGCCATTTCGACTGCTGCCCGGCTCTGAAGCACGACTTTTGGCGAGTTGGCCGCTTGCAGATGATGTTCATCTGTTCCCCCGGACAGCATTTGCGGTCGGAGGCGTGGATGGGGTGGAGATTTGCTCAAACTTGGATCTTTCAAAGGATAATTCTGGTTGGAGTCGTTCTTCTCCAGCCCATCTAAGCACAGCGCACTGAGTTCGGCAAATTCTTGGGAAGTGTCGCTGTCGTTAACTTGGACACCTACACAAGTTCACAGGACCTAGTGAGGTTCTCGTGTCTAATAGAACATTCCCTTCAGTCTGGACAATAAACACCACTTGAAAACTACGAGAGCACGTGGTCCGGCTGCAACTTGTATCAGCACCTACGGGTGCGGCTGAAAACTTGGAACGATCCGGTCCCGCCATGGGGCGGAAGGCTTACCGCTTTAGTATTGGATACATCCGCTTGCCCCGCGGCATCTCTCTCTCCACTGCCTCATTCCCACGTTCGTAGAAGAAATGATCCTCGCGCACGGCGAAACGGCCCACACAATGCCGTCACCACACATGGAGCGCGTTGTGCATAATGTGGTTTTGAAGGGTGAACTCCCTGCTATGGCTAGTCCTCAACATCATAACTGGCTTCAGGCCGCTTATCATGGCAGGCAGTGAAAATGGAACCAGACCAGAATGCTGTTTGACCCGCACCCATGCACACTCATCACCAGGGCTCTGTATTTCTCCCTTTTGTCTCCCTTTCAAGCATCACCTCCCCAAATGGAAAGAAACACTTTTAATTGGCCCAAAAGGTGATGTGTACAAATGCCCGAAAGGGAAATAGGCCCTTGACTGTGGCACAAAGTCTTCGTTTCTGTGTCCTGGCAAGGAGCAGCAGAAGAGTGGCCATCAGGACGCTTGTAGTTCTTGGACCTGAAGGCGATCGATCTGTGAGTCTGTTTCAGGCTCGGCACATGTTCTTGGGGCGAAAAGAAACCAAATTTAGGGGGAACCAAGAAACAAATTTGGGAAACAGGTACCACACAAATTAAGGAAAACCAAATTCAGGGGGTACCAAACTTGTTTTGACGCGTATGGGATCACAAGAAACCTCAGTGGGATCACCACTGGGATTTTGGGAGTGGGGGTTCTCAAAATCGGGCCTAAAATGGTTGGCTCCTTCTGCGTTCCCAACCAAGCAACCAAGCAACCGAGCAACCGAGCAAGCAAGCACACCACCAACCAACCAACCAACCAAGCAAGCAACCAACCAACCAAGCAAGCAAGCAAGCAAGCAGCCAAGCAAGCAAGCAAGCAAGCAAGCAAGCAAGCAAGCAAGCAAGCAAGCAAGCAAGCAAGCAAGCAAGCAAGCAAGCAAGCAAGCAAGCAAGCAAGCAAGCAAGCAAGCAAGCAAGCAAGCAAGCAAGCAACCAAGCAAGCAACAAGCAACCAAGCAACCAAGCAACCAAGCAAACAAGCAAAAGCAAGCAACCAAGCAACCAAGCAACCAAGCAACCAAGCAACCAAGCAACCAAGCAACCAAGCAACCAAGCAACCAAGCAACCAAGCAACCAAGCAACCAAGCAACCAAGCAACCAAGCAAAGCAACCAAGCAACCAAGCAACCAAGCAACCAAGCAACCAAGCAACAAGCAAGCAACCAAGCAACCAAGCAACCAAGCAACCAAGCAACCAAGCAACCAAGCAACCAAGCAACCAAGCAACCAAACCAAGCAACCAAGCAACCAAGCAACCAAGCAACCAAGCAACCAACCAACCAAGCAACCAAGCAACCAAGCAACCAAGCAACCAAGCAACCAAGCAACCAAGCAACCAAGCAAACAAGCAACCAAGCAACCAAGCAACCAAGCAAGCAAGCAAGCAAGCAACCAAGCAACCAAGCAACCAAGCAACCAAGCAACCAAGCAACCAACCAACAAACCAACCACCCCGTATGAAGAATCTCTGGCATCTGAGGTTCTAGCTCTCCTTCCTTTGCGATTGTACCCTCCAGCACCCCCAGCCTGTGCGTCAGTCTTGCTGTCACGACCCAGAGTCAAGCATGCCTTGTATCCAGCCACAAGGAACAAAATAAGTGGATTACGAATGGGTGTCTTTTTTAGGAGATCCCAAAATGGTGGTTTCCCTTTGTCTCCCTTTTAACCCGCAAAAAGGACATATACTCAAATATCTGCAAGGTCTCGCTATATTCCACGCCTGTTTCTCTCGTACTTGTCTTTCGTCTTCCCAGCGGCAACAACGCCATCTGACCTCAGTTCCAAGTATTCGAGGGTCTGGACCCGCATCCCCGAGGCTTCTCCAGGGCATGTGCTGATGATTGCTTTCTCAGCTGTCCCCCCCTGACGCGAAGCGCACTGAGTACTCTTTCTCTTTTGGCGCCGTTTCACAAGCAATCTGGGCCCCTGGGACTGGAAATGGAACCCTGTTTTCCCTGTGGTCAAAAACCAGCTAGGATCCCCCAAAATCAAACAGGGGATCCGATCAGGCCGACGTGACCTGGAAGGGGGGTAACCGCCCAAAAAAAAAACGAAAAAAACTGAGAAGGCACGATATCCCGGGGAAAAGCCGATGTGCATTTCTACTGTAAAGCACCTCATTTTTGGCCATAGGCTTTTCCCAAGTGGACAGTGCCTTCTCAGCTTTTTATTTGTTTTAGAAAAATAAAAAATAAAAATGAGCGAGCACGCAGAGGTTGAAGGAGCACGCAAATTCGGAGAAGGCCCGCAAAACCGGAGAAGGTCCGCAAAATCCGGAGAAGGCCCGGAACAAAATCTGAGTCTGGTTTGTTTGGCGATGTGTGACGTGCAAATCCGCATTCATGGCTGCTGGTGATGCTTGTGCTGCTGCTGATGCTGGTGATGCTGGTGATGCCTTTGATGCTGGTGATGCCTCTGAACTGGTGATGCCTAAAAGTATCTAGCCAGAGCCAAGGCTGACAAACAAACATGCCAGCCCTTGAGAAGGCACGCTTATCTGGGGGAACCCGCAAAATCCAGAGGACGCGTGTCCAGACTTCCGAAGTATATAACCCTGAACAAGCAGCTGTAAATGTTTGGGGCCTAGGCCAACCTTCAATTGACGGCCGAGACGCGTTTCTCTGAGGGATGTCAAACAGCCAAACGGATCCGACCCTATAAAAAGTGGCAACCTTCTGCTGGTTGAAGGAAACAATGGAACGCCAAATCCTCCTGCAACAAGTCAAAAAGAGCGGTCAGCCAAGCCTTTGGTCTGACAATGAGAAATGAGCCTAAGTCCTCGGCTCGTCAATGAAGTGCACCCCTGTGCCCATGCGCTTGGCGCTTCGATGCGGGCCTGTGGAGACGAAAAAGGCACGCTGAGAAAGCCGAGTTCCATCTGTCAGTCAACACCATGACTTTGCTGAGCAAGGAACACCTATTTTGGGTTTCATTTCAGGCAATCCCATTGAACCTCTCCTTAGTGTCGCCCGCAATAGGGTCGAGAGAATCCCGCACCTCCGCGCTCGCAGCTCTGGCAAAACCGGCCAAGGTTGGAGGCGTAGTGCTGCCGCTGCTCCCACCTCACTCCCGCTCGTGTGATGCGCCTTTTTCGAAGCCAAACCCGACAAATCAGCCAAATACCCAAAACTTGGCCTAGTTTCCAATAGCTCCTTTAGCTGCTTCTTGTTCAGGCACTGCTTCACATGTGGACAGAACCCACTGGCTGTGCCATTGGCCATGATTTCCACAGAGCTATATAACCCCACAAACTAAGATGGTGCCCGGTCAGCTAGCTTGCCATGGGAGAGGGCAAGCACTTGCCACAGCAAAAACAACAACAACACAAATCCATCCACAATACTCAGTACGCAAACACGCAAATACACACACACATCCAAAAAAAACACAATCTAACCACAGACACACACACACACACCTAGGAGCTTGGCAAGGGCACTGGCAGCATCGGTCGCATATGCTCCCGCTGCGAGACTGCCTCCTGCCGGCCGGAAGGCACTAGAGGTGACTCTACAACCTTCCGTCAAAATGCATCGATCTCAAAACTTTGGTCCGACGCCAGGTTGGTTTCTTTCCTTTGAAACTCTGAGGGCCCCCTTCGGCATCCTTTCGGCATGTTGCGCTTCACGGAGCTCAAAGTCTCCGCTCGCTTTCGGCTCTATACGCCCAGCTTGCCCTTCCCAATGTTCAGCGTGACGTGCGTTGGCCAACTCTCTAAACGCTTCAACTTAAAACGATGAACTTGCAACCGCAAGCAGGTCAGCTTGCTTGCTTCACCTCAAGAGCGTCTGGGGACGGGGGAATGTCGGCCTCTCTCTACTCCCCCCCCTTGGCTCCTGAATGAGGTCTCTTTTCCTGACCTGTCACGACCAAGCACGGACACGTCATCAGTAAATGAAAAATATTGAGAATGGATCGACACGTCAAACTAGAATCCAAGGTGAAGATGCAATCGCAAGGTCAACCCTGCCTCTTCCTTGAGATTACCCTGATGCGGTGCATGCTGAAGGGTGAACTCAGACTCCTTCCGAAATGCCTCTTCTTCCTCAGCCAGGCAATCAGGATCTCACAGCAATGTAGATATCAAAATCAGGGAGGGAAAATGCATGTTCCTAGTGTTCGCCATTTTCTCAGGGTGGAATGGCACGAGGGGAGACGGTGGCAAAATCCGCTCTGCGAGGCATTGGTGCCCGAATTTCTCGCCTACTGGTTCTCAGGTAGCACATCGCACATGGAATGACCACCAAGCACCCATTTTGAGACCCTCATTTTCCAGAACATTCCCCCACCTAACAATCACCCAGTGAGACCCTCCCACCCTGGAAAGTCACGAATTGGAGGTAAGGCCACGACGTTGCCCTGGCGGATCAGCGACTTCAAGGGGTCATCGCCTCGGCATGTCCGACAGCCGGCCT